TAGGTTTAGTAAAGACATTAAATTCCAGGGCTGAAATGATCAAAATGATTCTAGTGAAGGTTTACGGAGTTTAAAAACACAGTGGAGCACTCAGTGTTCTCTGTTTGAGAGAAGTATTGAGCCTAAATATATTGGATTTATGTGTTAAACATGTGAGAATGAAACAAAACACAACTCCAGGTATGTTTGTGGAAACATTATAGCATATCATAAAATAGTGTAATATGGTTCCTTTAAAACACTGAGCATCAAGGAATCACTCTTCCATTCACAGACGCAATCATACCCCAGTACAACCCACTTATAAGTATCTTGCCAAATGACACAACGACAGTATGCACTGATGGCAGCAGCGGTCAACCCACTGTTCTTCAGATCAGGTGTCTTGTTCAGTTTGTTCCTAATATATTTGTGATTGTTGACTCGATTTTTTTCCGTGTTTATGAACAATATTAGTCTAGCCCTAGTACAGATATACTGTAATGTATAAGCAACTCTTGAGGTCAAAATATGTCCACTGTGTGCTGTCTGCATCTAATTATAAAACATCTATAGGTCTGATAATTAGGAAGTGCTTGTTACAGCTTTACTGTAACAGTAAAAATACACTCTAGCCTCTGAAAGTTGTGAAAAGTGCTTATAAATTCATTGCGGTGAATAATCAGGATGTTCGGAAAGTGTAAGGTAAGAGAGGAATAACTTTGGACTACTACATGTGAACCACTTCTGATTTTTACATTTCAAGACAGTACAGCGCCTTTAATAGTTGATTCAAATTTTACTATAATCCAGTTTACATCACACAGCAATGACATTACCTGCTGATTTGGTTGTGTAATTCCCTTGTAAAATCCTGAACTTAGACTAAAAGGTACTGCAACAACAACTCCAACATGTCTTAACAACAGGTTTGAAAATAGCTGACTTGTTATTGAGGTGTATTTCCTCTGTTGTGATGCTGTCCTGAGTTGACAGGCTAAAGTTCAAAGTGGAGGAGTTGTGATGCAGCGGACTGTGGCTAAAGGGTCACTTGGGTCACTGGGCTCTGATGTGATGGATGACTTTAATCTTACTGATTAACAAGCCCCACCCTCACAACACTTCATTTCACATCTCAACCATTTATGTGTTTGGGGGAAAGGCACGGGCCATGTAAGGGTTCAACCATAGATCCTGTTATTTTTAGTCATACCTAGAAAGTTATCTACTCCGTTGAACTGTTTTGACCTGCAGAAATTGTCTTGTTGACAACTAAATTTCAGAGCAAAATTGTACTGAGCCATAGTAGCACAAATAGAATAGTAACTTAGCTCTTAGAGGATTGGACATCTTCTATTCTCCACTTAGATGTTATTGTTTTCTCTGTAAGACAATGGCATAAAACTTGAACATCTCCATGATGATAAGCAAATTACTCCATCAAACCAAGTATATAGTTTGTAAATAAAACACCTAATTGAAAAATGAAAGATTAATGTCATGCTAAGGAACATTCTAAGCAATGCAATAACATTTTCAAAATTATTATATTGGTGGAAAGTACAATACTTTGTGGGGATCTGTACCTTACATTTTATAGTGGGTACTTTTTACTTTTACTTCATTACATCTAAAAGGAGGGAGCTGTACTTTCTTCTCCATTACATTTTAGAGCTGAAATAAAATGTAAAAAGTACTTTTCTTTATGGCTTGAGATGTGTTAAAATGGCTGAGAGTTATTTTTAGCACATTTAATTTAAGTTAACATCCCGAGTAAACCAAATGTTGTACACAAAATCAGCTAGAAAAATTAAGAAATCAGTTGAATCACTTAAAATCAGCTAAATTCTTTACCAAAATCTCTATATTTGATGCTTTAATTGTTCAAAAATCTCTGGAAAATAATAACATTAAAGTACATTGCTTGAGTCAATTTTTTTCATACCTTTACTTTTACTTGAGTAGTCTTTTGTCCCTGTATCTGTGCAGTACTTCATCCACCTCTGCATTCAGTCACAAAACAATTCACTTTCTTACTGACATGTTGAACTAAACTAAACCAGAAAAGAGATTATTTTAGTTCCTCATTTTTTTGGCAAGCAATACTCAGAGATACAGCTGTATTGGTGGCTTAGACTAGATTTTCTGACTTGTAATGACTTTTTATGATGCTGAAAAAACTTAACACTAATCCCCGGAAGTGGACGGAGGAAACTAGTTTGCAGACATGATTTCCGAAATGATTCCTTAATCACATTTGGGTCTGTTCCAAAAAAATTATCTCCGGCTTTTATCGCTTTTCTGAAATCCTAAAGAGGAAGTAATTTGAATGGATAGTTCCTGCCAACTCATTTCCTGTATTCTGATATTTCCTCCACTCATACTGACCTGCTCTGCTCTTCTGGGATTCAGACCATTCACTCTAAGCCAGAGACCCCGGCACATATAGCACATGTACACACACAGCATCAACATCTTGTATTCATATGTGAGGCCTTATATGGACATTCTTTTCAGAATCTTCAAAATCTTAATATCTTAAAGGGGACATTAACTTTTTGAGGTTTTACCCATGTTACAACAGTGTTCCCTCCTCATTAGCTTCAAAGTTGTATTTTGATTGATTTGTCCAAGGTTGAGTAATCCTGTACAAGATGCCCCAAACACTGTCCAGTTTGAGGCATTTTAGTTCTCAGAAATGTTCAGTTTTTCCTATCTCCACCCACACTTTGTACTTGTGATTGTGATTTAAAGATTCAGAAATAATATAAACTGGCAAACATGATGACCTTCCTGAAATGTCCCTAGCCACATTTTGGTTTAATTAGCTGAATCTGATAACATATGCATTTGTTTTGGGATGGGTTTGTCTTTTATTTGTGCCATAGTTTTCCAGTTGAAAGCAGGCCATTTTCAATAAACAGCTGTTTACAGCTTTGTTGATACAAAACCTGGCGTTTGTGTGTTTTGAAAAGCAGCAGGGGGTTGGTTTGATATCATGATGTCTGTCCCTTAATGAGACTGGTGTGGCATAAAGTTTTATATGAGCCTCAGCAGCACAGCTCAGCGCTCTGTGCTTCACATCTGGTTTGTACTTTCAACTCCTGCCAGTGTTTTCAAAAGTTGCTTTATGCCCAATTATTATTGTTTTAATGCAAATTATTCAAAATGGCCAATTTGCAGCTTCATTTACCATTTACTACAGTGTTTTAGCATCATGAAAGCAAAAAAAAAAAAAGGATTTAGAGAAACAGACACCTCACTTCATAAAACATTTTATATAAATTAGGTTTACAAGTTTAAGTTCATACTGTTGTTGTGCCTTTGGGCAAGACACTAGGTCTAGAGTGGCATTTGCAGTGTAATATGCATACTTTTGCATAAGGCTCCACCACAAAACTACCAGTTTAGTGTGTGATTGGACCTTGTCTCTCCCATCTTGGCATAGTGCAGCCAAAGACTTCAGTGAACTTTTCTTTACTAAAAACAAAGGTTGTTTCCAGTAGCCATACTTGAAAGATATCCTGAACAAGAAACTCATGTGGCCTTTGCCATGTATACACTGTTTAGGAGTATTTTGCTCAGTATTTTTCAGGTTGCTGCAGGCAGATATCCGAGGCAGACTGGCTGGAGGGATTGGGTTCCCTGTATCTATCATGTTGGACGAGCTGTGACGCTGGAGCAGAGCCAGTGGTGTCTGCGTTAGCCAGCCGTAACTGACATTGAGTGCATTGTTTTCAGTGGGAAGCTCACGGCTCAAGCCTTAAGGTACATTCCTGAGATGAGAAACACAAACAGGCTTTGTGCCCTCACCACTCTCCTCCTCTGACTCCCTCATCCACCTCCAGCCTGCAGAAGTGCTCCTCCTGCTCAAGAGTCAACATGTGGGCTATTGGCTCCCACACACGCACACAAACACACACACACCCCAACACACACACACACACACACACACACACACACAGACAAGCACACGCAAACATCAAAAACAGAAAATGAGTGATTGGAAGCAGCAAAGAAGTGCAAAAAGATGTGTACATTAGTAGCTGGTTGAGCAGTTTGTGTAGATGATGGTATAAAGAATGGTTCTGGTCCACTTGAAAAGCCTATAGGAGACAGGTTTGAATCTCAACCCAGAGGAGAACATTACTGATCTTCCATGCCTCCTGCAATAAAACACCCTGTAAACAGTGACTAGACAATGCACAATGTTTTGAATTGCCATACTATAAATATAAAATTAAAATGACGTGTATGAATACTATCTGAATACTATGTATGAATACTACTATTACATTTTATAAGGACTACAACTTGACCTTTTTATAACCTCTGTCAAAATCAAAATTCTCATTTTGCTGGTGGGAACTGTGGTTGAGGTCAGCTCCGTCAGAACCAGTGAATCTGCAAAAAAAGATTCCCTCAAAAACCACCGTCTCACGAATTGGATTTCAACACGTACAAGAATATTGGCCAGTTGGCTACTACTAAAATCTTGGGAAACATAGACATTTAAACTGTAGTTTGCTGAGCGAGATAAAAAGTGCTTTTGAGATTGGCATAGCAATAACTATGTTCTACTTAGAGCCCTTGGAGAAAATGGATGACTCAGTGACCAGATCAACAATAGTTAACAGCTCTTAATGCATTAAGAAGATCTGTACAATTAATAAATAATATATGAACCCAAATATAGACAATTTGATATTGACGGACACTGAAATGAACTTCTGTTGACATAACTTGAACTTTATTATTTACATCATCTCAATTAAGTACATGTTAAAACAAACTAAATGTACGACTGTATTGAGAACATTCCTTTTTCTTTGAGTGTGTATTTAGTGGGAGTTTATTTGCATAAAATTAAAATAAATGTTTCCTGGAAACACAGCGAGTGCTTTGGGAGTTACTCGGGTGAGTTTTCCTAGCCCCTCAACTCCCGCCCCTCACTACGTGGAAACCCACAACAAGTGGCCAACCAATGGGAGTGACTGGGAGACGTGTGGAGAGGGGGCTGAGCAGCACTCACACAAATGAAAAACGGGGGACTGAGCGAAGACCACTCTGCAACCCGCAAGCCCCTTGTTTTTCTTCTTTGCGCTGTTTGTTTGCACTCCTACGACTTGGATCACCCCGTTAAAGCTTGCGCACGGCCAAAGGAACAACGGAGGACGGGGTTTTCGGACTTAGGGAAGGGGAGATGTGAATTGAACACTGTTTTGGCGGAGCGCACGAACGCAGCGATGGAATGAGCTGATCGAAAACTCTGACGAAGTTGTTGGGACTTTTGAGCTTTAGCGCTGCGCGTGCTCCACTTTCACTCGGTCATGTATGGATAACGGAAGGCTCGCAGTGATTTTTGGGTCGAATGGAGAAGGTTTGACTTGGGTGTCCCATTCTCAGCAACATCGGGCCCCAGAGCGGACCGCTCTTAGTGAACAAGCCGACCGCTTATGACACTGTTGTGAGTGCGTAATGGCAGTGTGTTTGCTGCGGACGCACGGCTCCCTATGGCCACTAGGCTATTTACTGTTCTTATTTTCCTGTTTATTTCTGTTCACGCCGTGTTGTGGCCGCAGACTCATCTGCTGGCAGGCCATTATGAACTGCCAAGCTGAGCCCGAGTGTAACTACGCCTACGAGCACTACACGCGCGCGTGTGGCCCGGTGCTGAACGGGGAGAGGAGAAAGTGCCCGAGTCATTGCATCTCGTCTTTGGTACAACTTAACCTGACTAAGAACGGACCCGCATTGGAGGACTGCAGCTGCGCGCGGGACGCTACGTGTGTGAACACGAAGCGGGCTATCGAGCCTTGTCTGCCCAAGACCACAAGCACGGGCTGCACGGAAGCGCGGCGCCAGTGCGAGAGGGACCAGCAGTGCAGCTCCACCATGCACGACTACCTAAGACACTGTAGTAAGCTGTTTAGCGGCGCTGTGTGCTCGAACGCCTGTCGCAACGTAATTGCCAACATGCGTAAGATACCCAAGGGCCAGCAACTGGACACTTGCATGTGTGATGGCACGGAGCGGGCCATATGTGAGTTTGTTAAAGCCAGTATGAAAACTCTGTGCTTTGACTCTCCGCCTGAGCGCGAGGAGAGCAGCGGGTGGATCCACAGGATGGATCCAGATAGTGAGGACGGCGACGATGAGCCCGAGGTGGACTATTATCAAAACCCGGACAGCGGATCAGCTCCCACAGTTCAGCGCTGCGCCCTCACTCTGTTGGCATCCATTTTAGTTCTGTTGGCCCTCGTCTAATCCCTGGGGTCATGACGTGCCCCCGCTATTGTCCGGATAAAGGGCCGTCTCCACTCGGGCCGCTCCATGACCTGTGGTTGGAGGAGTTAAAAGGCCCCTGGACTGAAGGAATCGCCTTGTTTGGACTACAGAGTGAAGGATATCACATGAGGAGATTTTCTATGCAAATGACACCACAAGGCTGTGTAGGCCTCTTATCGAGCCCACTTCACTGCTTCACTTTGCTTATGTGATAAGCTTTTATTGTCTCACAGAGTCGGACTGATAGCATTGTCCACACACAGCTGTCTGTGCCAATGTCAGTGGATGTGTCCATGCTGAGCACTGCCAAGCCTCCTAAAGACACTTATATCATAGACTGATGCCTACCTGATCAATAAGTATTTAATGCTGGAACAGATGAACTTGTAAATACACTAGAGTTTAAGGAGAAACAGTAATTTATTACCGTAACATCCAAATGTGCAGCATGTAAATAGAAAAGAGAATTCCAGCTTTAAAGGGAACTTATTTTGTATATTCTCTTCAAGGATTATGTACATTGTATATATGTGTATAGAGGCTATAGATTTGTCCAGAGAATCTATGTTTAGGCTATGAGATGATTTATTAAAAATAGCCTATAGTGAAAGAAATGTCTAAATCCACTGTACGCACGCCTTAATGATATACTTTTTATAGAAGGCATAATGAAAACTTGAAGATATATTGGGACTGTGAGTTCTGTCCGTCTGTTCTTAGTGACAGATGTGCCTTGACCCCAACTAAAAGTCACATAACTTATGGTGAGTGTCACCAGTCTGTTACACTCGTATGCTCTCAGAAAACAAAGCTATGTTTTATATAAAATTATTTTAATGACAAATTTTGAGTGTGGATGATATTTTGACAGAAAAGCATTGTATGCTTTTTGTAATGTGGATTCCTAGTTACAATTGTAACAAATACATTTTGCCGTCAAGCAATAAAATATGTTAAAAATACTTTGCAATTTGTTTTTTAAAATTGCACTAAAATGACCACTTTTTTAAAAAGGTTTATAAAGGTTACAATAACCAATTCTATGACACAACACCAGTTTGTGCAATTCAGAATGTATTTAACAGGGAAAGACGTATTGTACTGGGGCAGTTTTTAGTTTAGTCCTATTTTAGTTATTTATTAATTTCAACATATTGTGTGTCTGTTTATGGGGAATGCTGTATTTACAGTACTGTGAAGTGTATTTCCTAACATCTGCAGGCTTGACTTGTTAATTTCCACACACTGCTCTCTGGGCCCCCCCTTCTGTACTTTTAATGGGCTCATTTACAATGCTCTGTTGACTGATAGCCTAATGACCCCTATATCTTGATTTAGCCTGCTATTGTCAGAGGACACTGTCACCATAAATCAACACAGCACCCTCTTATGCCCTGTCCACCAGCATTCAGGTATCCAGGATTTTTACAACCACTGGCTCTGCTACCGCTGGCTCAGATTTGACAAATTCCACATGAGCTGTCATACACTTCTAGCATATCCTTATCTTATTATTATTCAGCATGTCTTGTGGAGGGGCTTTAAATCAATGATTCGATGCAAAATGTTTTATTAGAAGGGGGACAAGAGCTCTCGGTGGTGAATGGATGGAGGAGAAGTCGAGTGGCGTCTTTGTCATGGTAATGTTAAGCACATAATAGTTGGGTCGCACAATGGGGAGGCACTTCATTCTTTCAGGCTGGTTGACACCTCTGGAGGGCCGAGCGGCAGGAGAGCATGTGGGAACGGTCTGCTGCAGGAGCCAGAAAGAACAGGAGAAAAACACATGACAAGCACGCTAATGCAATGATAGCCACTGCCTGTCCCACCTAGCCAGGGCAGCCTGCGTAACTATGCATAACTAGTAAAGGTTTAGTTCCATAAAACAAGGATACAAAAAAATAAATAAAATAAAAATAAATAAATAAATCAAGCATTATTTTTTGTCCAATTATACAATTTCTGTTCATGCTGCTATAGGACTTCAAAAAATTTCAACTTCTTCCAATTCCTATGAGTAAACATTCTTCATTTAAACTAATTATTATGTTATTTACAGTGTGCATATAGTTATTTATTTATTTATTTTATGAGAAATGTACAGGTATCCTTTTCTGACCAATGGCATCAGTACATAACATGCTGAAGTGATTATCACACATACAAGCTGCCTTTTACTAAACAGGGGCAGAAAATCATTGGAACTCCAAAGAGACATTTTGTTGTAAATAGTTGTAAATATGATAATTCACAAATATTGAAAACTAGATTTCACTGGCTAGTTTAATAAGTAAGTAAGTTAATTCTACCTCAGTTATCATAAACAACCTTTTTTACCCAAAAATATGTGTGTATGTCATTTTAATTTCACCATGAAAGTTGTATCCTGGTTTGAATCCGTGTTTAGCTTGTCGGTATGCAGTGTACTGTGCAGCTGAGAAAGGCCTGGTGTAAGCCCGCTCCTCCTCCCCTCCTCCTCCATGATGGTTTTCTTTTCTCGCCTCCTGCATTTGTTCAGGCACTTTTGAGCACTTAGGAAAAGCCCAGCATGCGTTGATTAGCCTATTATATGAGTACTATATGAATGAGTGAATGAGGTGCATAACAAATCATCTCACAAAACAAACCTGTGTCAAAATATAACACTGGTAAACTATGCACAAACATTCGGTACATGTGTATTTCTATATATTTTATAGATCGGTCAGTATAGTACTGCCTAATTAAAACATAGTCTAAAATAAGAATTCATTATCTCTTTGGACAAATACAGTCATTATTAGGTGATATATAGTTTGAGAACAGTTTGACTGAGGAAAAAGCAATAACTCATGAACACCGGGAAACTTGAGCTTTGAAGCCATTGCCATCACAACAGCATTTGAAGTGCTATAAATTGAACAAATATTGTTTGTGTCCTAAGAAAGTATGTATTGCGGAACATAAAGTACAATAGTGTTGCAGTGAAACGCCTCTCGCTGATGGGGGAGGGGTGCTTCTGGGTTTAATTTACAAACTGTGTGTTTGTGTTCCAGCTCTTTGAGTGTGTCTAAGGTATCTCCACCATCGACTGTGCCTCACCCAGCCAGGCTCTGGAGCAAAAACAACAATGCATATTACCTGCACCTTCTTTCACCAATTTTCACTCTACATCACCTTTGAATCACCCATGCACTTATAATCATGTTTCCCCTCTTGAAATAATTAAAGCCACAGAAATTGTGAACTTAAATAAAAGCATGTTTTTGTTGTGTTTATTGTACTGATCGGATCTGCATCTCCACAAACCTGACTCTTATCTGGTCTCTTCCAGGCTTGTTTCCATGGAAATTTTGTTATATATGTGTGTGTGTGTGTGTGTGTGTGTGCGTGCGTGTGTATATGTGTGCATGTGTGTGTAAGACATAAACAAATACTTCTCGTGTCAATCCCAAACCTGGATAAATTAATTCCGTTGTGTTTTAAAGGTGCACTATGTAACCTTGCTGGTGGGACGTTCTGCATGCTTGTCTCCATGGAGCTTTTATTGCTTTGCCTAGAATCTTCCACAGAATGGCACTGATGGAGTGTTAAGTATTGCACAGATTGCAGTATGCCTGTAATACGCCCCCATATCCATTAGCTGATCTCCTTTAGCCCCTTGGATATGTGTTGTATTTCTCACAGGCGTTTGTTTGGGCCTCAGCTCCACACAGGGCTGTGCAGAAAGTGATGCAGAAACACTTGGACAGTTGGAATGGTGAGAAGGGGAAAGACGCACTCACATGGAAAGTTCATTTAAAAGGATTTGGAAATAATCCCTTAAAGTTACCACAGGGTATTGGGTTGGAAGGGGCTCCACCTCTGACTCCCCTCTGAGCTCCTGCCACAGCATGAAGCAGGTTTGCCAAAAGTGGGATGATGAAGGTTATTTATTGATCTTCTAATTATGATTTCCTTTTATTCGTATTCTAGCTTGAATGTGTTTTTGGATTGTAGATGACAAAGCATTTACTCTAAAACACACACTTGACAGCCAGATTCCTGGGCCTGACATTGTACTTTGGGCAAGACACCCACAGAGCATTGTGTGTAAATTAATGTATGTGTGTATATTTTGTCCATGTAAAGCATTTTTCTACCCAGTAGAGACTGACAAGTGTTAAATGACTAGTTTAGTCCTCGTTACGTTTCTGGATTGGTGTTTTCCATGTTTGGTGGTGTGTTAACTTGTCTTAATTAAAATTCTGGTTGAATTAAATTATCTTGTTTGGCACAATATATAAGATCATTCACCTTATTCAAGAAATTGCCTCAGGTGCCTCCTTTATCTGTTAACCCTTTTTCTGTCGTATTCCTGACCTTGAGATCAAATAAGTTCTATCCACACTACAAACCTGTTTTCAAGCCACCCAAAAAAGAAAAAGTACATGACAAATCAACTTACTTTTTATAATATCTTAGTAGCAATATTTGAAATGAACGGAGAATTTAAGCAGAAAATGCACAACACAAACCAAACTGGGTAAGTAGCAGTAATAAATAAAAGGCGATGTGGGGCAGAATAAGATGAATAGCAATCTTTGTAATCTATAACGTATTTGATTTATCCCTGCTCTGCTCAGGTGCTCTACTCTTTCTTTAGTTTGCAAACAGAATACAATCAGAAACACAACCAACAACACAGCGGTGGCGTACTTTGTGACCCTCTTGTTCAATGTAGAGAAGACACATTTGGAACAGAGCTTGTATCAAATGCCTGCCACAAACAGTCAGGTAAACGAACAGCGACAGGCCCAATGACAGTGGGATTAGGAAGCAGGTTTTCTCTCAGGACCTGAGGAGCCAGGCCCGCTGCTCGAGTAACTGGATTACAGAGCCTTTTTCTCATTTCAAAGGGTGGTGAACTCAGCAGAGGTCTTGCATGATGAAATCAAAGTGGCAGCTGAAATAGAAAGGAGCAAAACAACAAGGCTTTCTCTAAAGTCTAAAGGGCAGTTAATGAGAGAGATGCAGAATCAATGGTCTCTGCTTTTCTAAGGTCATGGATGGATTCAGGATGTGAGGAGGGGAGTATCCTGTTCCTGAAAATCACACACAATCCAAAACAAATTCCAAACTCCATCTCTCCATTCCAAGAGAAAAGTAGGCATTTTGTAATCTTTGTTTGATGAGACAGGACTAACTACATGCGAATCATTGAAGTCCATGTGCCTGACTTTGAACCATGAGTAAGGAGCATGTTTAAACAATTAGCTCCGCCCAGTTAGCGTCTAGTCTCTCTTTGATGTTGAACCACGATAGAGAAACAATTGCCTCAAATAATTGAGAAGAGTTGTTTCTGCATTGTCCATAGTTGCTCCCATTTGATTCTTACTAAGTATCTTTAAATTTTTTTTCCTTTTTTTTACGAATAGCTGCTTTATAATATACTTCATGGTGTAAGGCCCTTTAATTATCTGTACTTGATTCATTTAGTTAATTAGAAATAACACTGGGGGTGATAAAGAAGAATGAATGAGGATTCTGGTGACTTAAAAAAGAAATGTTACAGTACATAATGGGAAACTATTAAAATGGAGATGAGATGGATATGAATGACACAGGAGATGAGTGGTGGTTAAAAGAGGATGTGTTTAATTAGGCTATTTCATAAGGACATATCATAATGGTGATCGTCTGTCATAGTAACAGTTTGAACCATATACCAAATCATGTCATAAAGGCCAATTTCTATCTATTCTACCACATGACAAAAACTGGAAAACAGAGCAATGATTGGTTTCACAGACAGAAAAAAATGAGAGAAAACAAAGCAGGGAAAACATAAAAATAAACAATATTTATCTAAACGGTAATAGCCATGAAACTTCTATCTAATCTGTGTGATGGCAGTGGGGACCATTCACAGCATGTTCACACATCTCTGCACCAGCTCCAGTGTTTGCCTTTCACTTC